ATTAACTCTATTCCAGCCAAAACCAGCACAGATGTCAATCAAAGCCCTCTAATCTAGAATGCAATAAAGAGGGACCCCTGCTTTTTGTAGTTTGTACTGAAGGTACATGAACAACAGGTCATTTTAGGACATGAAATGGATCTGTTGGTACTCTTCTGTGAATATTTACAGGGCAAAAGACCAGAGTTATAATATTCTTATTATCGTGCCTCTGAGAAGTACTGAAATTCTAGTGTTCTACGATATCCATCGCTAGAGGCCTATATAAAGAAAACTGGACACATTTCTGTCAGGAATGGCATTGGTATGAATCTACTTTGGGTGGGAGAGACTAGATCAAGTTCTTAAGGTGGCTTCCAGCCTTTTCGTTCCAGATGCTATAGGTGAAGTTTTGTAAACTTTATAACCTGCACTTGAGAGAAATGCTTAACCTGAACATCAGCTCGCATTCAGCCACTGTTTATGAGTCAATGCTGTTTGATTTCACTATTTTATCTGTTAAGATACTTGCCAAGACTATCCCAGATTCCTCTGCAGAATTTTTTTGGTTGTAGGTACGTACTCGCTCAGGTGGCTATTGGAGACATACCTGGAGAAACAGTGTGACTGTGTCAGACCAGACATAAGATTTGACATCACAGTATTTCTGCAGTGTTGATGTTTGTTACCTGGTTTCAGTATAGCCCATAATCAGTAATTCCCCAAGTGACAGACAATATTTCAATTTTCCTCTGAGATGGCTAAGCTGGAAAAGAACCTTGTCTCTGAGGCCTGTCTCTCCTGCATTTGGAATTTGGCTGGCAATATCTGATGGTACTTTTGCTGGACTTTCAGGATAGCAATACAATTGATGGCTAAAATGACACAAGAAAAATAAGGATTTCTGTCACTGACCTTCCAGTGACATTGTTGGAAGAGAGAGTGATAAATCAAGCTGCATGTGTAGAGTATGTACTTAACTTAGGTTATACTCTGTAGTGCCTTTGAGTAAATATTTCCAGACAGTTATATGACAGGGAAATTATTTTACGTATTTCCCTTTGATGGAAAGTTTGCTACTGTTACTTCTCTTATTATTGTAATGATAATTGTTAAATATTTCTGTTTAACATTTCTACAGGTCTGTGTTTTTCCATCAGAGTTCACAGAGATACTCAGAACAGACTCGTTCTGTGTTCTGCCTTCTTTCCTCATCTTGGTTATTATCCTGCTCCACAAATGAGAGATGTGATTTCAATTAGCAGTTGTCAGCCAGCTGGTGGTGTACGCTTGTCACAAGCCCTGTGACACTCCGGAGTCCTTGACCCTTCCTTCCTACTTTGCTGGATGCAAAAATTTTGCTTTTGCTGACCAGATCCTGTGTAACCATCTTTGAACCTAGTTCTTCCAGGCTAGTGAAGGAGAATTCTAGAAGCACGCCAGCACCCCTTGGCTGGTGGGCCAGTTTGCCGCTGTTCAAGCGAGCCAGTACATCTTGCTGGATGCCGTATCCCCTGGGAAAGAGGAGTCTTGAAATAGCTCTTAGTGCTGGACAAGCTTTTAGTGTAAAGTAAAAGAATACGATTGTACTAAAACACAAAGCTTAAGAAACCAGCTGCTGTGCTTTGTGAAGATGCAGAACATTAGAGCGTAGCTCACTGCACAGTCATGCTGCTTTGGCTAGTTTCTGTCTTCTGCTGCCCTGGTTGTTGTGGTAGTCATGCTACCTCCCAGGACAATTCACACAGGTCCTAGCTCTGTGATCTGGATTTTAGGACTTTTTTATCCATTTTGTGGTTCATGGTTTATTTCTTCTGTGGTTTACAGTGAGAGCTTCTCCTTATATCTTATTTTCTCTAACTATGAATGCCAAAAATTAGCAACCTTAGTATTTGGCCTTACCCTTACCAAACTTTTTCCTTTTTTTGTGAATGACAGTATTCCTCAAGCTTTTTAAACTGTAGCATACATTTAATATTTTGTAACATATATGTTATATACCACATTTTACACAAAAAGGTAAAACAATGAATGTACTTATCGCTACCTCTTGGCAGAAACTATTTAATGGCAAGTAGTCTGGGAGTGCAGTGTATTTGGAATAAGAGGTTCATAAATATGGCTTAGTGGTTAAGGGTGAAAGAATAGGGCTATCATGGTTTTCTGTAGGTGTCCATACAATTAAATAATTTAATAATTTAATTAATAGTATAGAATATAAAGAACATTCTGCCCAGGCAAAGTTCCTGAAGCACTTATGTTCTCTTCAGGGAAGTGCTGCTATCTTAATTGCCACTGTAAGAGGATTTTAGATATGTCTTTGCTCAAGTTCCCTCAGAGGTCCGGTCTAGCAACTGTACTGGAAGCACATCTGCCTGACGTGTGCTGACAGAGAGTTTAACATTGATCGTAGCAGCCATAACCACTTTCCCTCAAAATCATGGTCTGAAGTGATGAATTTGTTGTCATTTATGTGCCAGTGTCATCCACAAGGTCCTCCCCTCATCCCCGTCCCTGCTCTCGGGACTGATTCTGTTGATGTGGGGGGTTGATTTTGATGATACTGTGCATAAGATCTTCAAGTGTCATACCCAGAAAGAGAAGCAAGTTCAGGAGTAAACAGGAAAAACTCAGACTTTGCCACAATCTGTTTCTGTGAGAAGGAACATACCCTTAGGGAAACAATAGGAAAAGTGGGGGACGGGGAGAGGCAGGCAGAATTGAATGGGCTGGTAAATTTGGAAGTTAGAAGCAGTCAGTGATGAGAGTAACAGTTTTTGTTGTGAACAAGATGAGTATCATCAGCTAAGAATCATGATTTTGAAACTGATTAGAAAGGCCAAGAGCTCAGGAATAAGAGATAGATCTCTCTGCATTCACTTCTTATGTGTCTTGATGGAGAAGTTAAGCTTAAAAAGAAATAATCTGTTTGTTTTGCAGTGATGATTTCCCTTTTGCGCTTAGCATAGAGAGATTTAATTTTGGAAGCATGATCCTAAGTGTCCATTAGTGCAGCTATAATAAACATTCATCTGTTTATTCCTTCAGCAGCATGTTTCCTAGAGCTATTCCTCTTGTTCCTTACTCCACGCTTTCTCATGTCAATCAAATTATCACTAACAATAATCACAAATCCCATTAGGAACTAATTACATATATGAAACTTCAAGTTAGTTTACCTCTTTGCTAACATTATCTCCAAGATTTTTAACTGCAGTCAATCCAGCTTGCTTCTGGCTCCATTAATTATGGTTAAAATATTAAGACCTAGAACTCATCTTAATGATACTCTGCTGCTTCCGAAATAAGACAGAGCTATAAAATGGAGTAACTGTCTCTGTCTTCTGATGCATTGAACTCTGTCCGCCACCCACGCGTAAGAGCTCCACGATTCTCATTTCATATCTGCTCAGTTCCTGAGTGACACAGTGAGCTCCCCCAGTGATCTGGTTTTTCTTGCTTGAGTATGTGCTGTGACTGGAGTTGAGAATGGAGCCTTGCTGATAAAACGTGGACAAAGATGACATGAAGCAGACTGGAGAGTAGGTTGTCATAAGGACATGGGACAGGTACTTTTGAAAGCTGTTACATGAACTCCCTTCCTTCCTTAGAACATGAAGGGAACAGGGTGTAATTCTTCCAATAGAGAGTGTGAAAAACAATGGCTTGCATGGATGTGCTGCACCTTGCAAGGAAACTATGGGTTTGGACCGTACCAAAAAGAGAACCTATTTCAAATATTTCAGCAAAGTAGTTTTTATATGCTGTTACAACTGAGATAAAAATTTATATCAGCATGTATGTATTGGTTCATTTCCATAATAATCTGTGTAATTTTCGTTGTTTGCTATATGCATGCATCTCTTCCTCAGACAGTGATGGAAATTAAGGGGAATATTTGCAACCAACAAGGAGAAAAAATAGTCTATGAAGATATATCATACTGTAGCCTATGTTAAATTGAAGCTTGTGGAATCCAACTTGCTGAATTTAAGTGTTTTATGAAAACAGAATCATTATCTCCTCTTTAGGCAGGTAGAGAACTCCTTTGGGATTTAAACACATGCATCAGAAGAATAGACCTGTGGGTTTCTGGAACGTTCACACCCACAGGGTTACACTTTGTTTCTGCAGTCTGGATAGTTAAGAAAAAATGCTGTTCGGAAAAAGAAAATGAGAGCAAATCCTAAAGCTTGATGTTTCCTGTACTCATTTTTAAAAAGCAGCTTTCAGATGTTTGCATCTGTATTGCCATTTACTTGTAAAGCTATTAATTTAAAAAGCCTTCCTATCCCCCCCCCCCCCCCCCCAAATTCTTTCCCTTGCAGGGAGAGGTCTTTTATGACTGTAAAAGAATGGGACAAAATTCTAACTGATTGATTTATAAACAGCTGAAAAAAACCATAGTTTATGTGGAAAGTGCTGGAACATCCTTAACCAAAATGATGTCACTGGATGCCACTTCAGTTTAATAAAATAAGTCATTCCAAAGTGGCTTAAGGTGGATAGAAGGCAATGCAGCTCTAAAGGAGAGAGAAAAGAGTGGGGAGGATAACTGTGAAACTAAAGATGCTTCTTCACCAGGAGTTCTTCCCAATTGCCCATGGCCAGTAGAAATGATCCCTGAAACAAAATGCCTTGGGTTGTTGATTTTGTGCAGACAGCTTTCTATCTTACAAATCAGCAAAGGAACACCTTCCTTTGGTTTTTTGCTTAAAGTCAGTTACTTTGTTGTTCATGTCCTTTATAGCCACAGGAATCCATGTAAAGTAGGGCTAGCTTGTCTAGTTTTCTTTCATGTGTGTTCATGCTTGCCTTCATCCAGTAAGTATGCTTGCACATGTGTTGGGAGAGACTGTGAGCTGCTGGTTTTTGTCAGGTTGACTTTTATGTCATTATAGTGTGATGAGTTTATCATGTTTTTCTGCCTTTTAATTTCATTTGGAAAAAAAGAAGTCATTTTTGCCTCATCTTGTATCTTCTGCAAAGCCAATTTAATACTAACTTCTTTTATTGTGCAGAGCTGGTTATTTGCCTCAGAATATTCCTTTGGAGATTATCAGATACCTTTCAGAGGAGAAGGATTTTCTGCCTTGGCATGCTGCCAGCCGAGCTCTTTATCCTCTAGATAAGTTGTTGGACCGCACAGAAAGCTACAACATCTTCAATGTAAGAGATACAGTCTTCCTCCCTTCTTCCTTTCTCCTCCCCACCCCTGCCTCTCCCCTCCCTCTTCTCTCCCCCGTCCTTCCTTCCTTCCTTTTCTTTCTTTCTTTCTCTCACTCTCTCTCTCCTTTCATTGCTAGGAGTTGAACTATTCCCCAGTCAGATACTGTAAATGACCTAGGGATATTAGCTTTCTTCCTAATTATTCTTTATTTAAACATAGCAATTGTCAAGCTTTGGTTCATTTGCATTTGAACAGTGATAACTGTTGTTTGAGGCATATATGATTAGTAGAAGGAAAGGTAATTATCCCTCCTATAAAATATTATGACAAATAAAGTATTTCACTTAAAAGAGCCAAAGTAATCTATTTCCAGATTTTCTCTTTTGAGGAGCCTCACGGCAATATTTAGATTGATGCCTAAGCTCAGCAAGGGCACCAAATGCAGGCACAACTGAACAGGACGCATGCAACTGAAGTAAAGATTTGTAGTCATTATTTCATCCAAAAAGCCATGGTGAATTCAATGCAGTTACCTTAATTAACAAGGATTAGATCACCATTGAATCAAAAGCCCATTCATAATTGGGTCCGAAGGGACAGCAGTAACAGCTAGCAGTAGATAATTAAGATAGACATGACAAACAATGACAAACATTTTATCATTTTACCTGAAATAAAAAAAAAAAATCGTAGCTACGCTGAAGCATGTTTTATGAAGTACACAGAATTTGATTGCAGCCACTGACAGTTATGAACTCTTGGGTTTTTTTTATTCACTATGAATTTTATGTAGTCTACATATTTTCAATGGCCAACATACTGTAATTTTATGTAATTTTTTAAAGCCTTCAAATGGAGGAACTCTCTAAAGCCTGAAATGCTTAAAGGAGCTTTTTTCTTCTTAAACTTATATTTGCTTGTGTGCGTGTGTCCACAGACACACATGCTCAGAGAGCAGTAAGCTAGAGGTGTCTGGATGTATGTATATACGTAGAAGTACATACATATATATATATATATATACACACACATACACACAGACACAGAGGTACCTGCTGACATGGAAAATTATTTTCGTAGAACATGTACTGGAGATTAATAAAGGCATATTGAAATCTTTATGAACCTGGAGTGTAGGCCTACATGCAAACCAGAGCCATAATATAAAATGATGTTGAAATAATTTGCATGCTTAGTCTGTTGTTAGCCGCAAAGAAAAATTCTTAGGAGTCTGCCACTGCTATTTCACTTTTAAACGTGGTTGTGTAAAGAAAACACAATTTTAATAAATAAAACCAGTAAAATTCATGGCCGGGTTGTGTTTTATCACTACTGATGAGAGCTTTGAAAGCAGAGGTGATAGCAGAGGAAATAAAAAGTCTTTTTAGTCACAGAATAACATATCTGCTAGAGAAAGCTGCACTATGAATCTCCTTCTCTGTTGACATCCTATATACATGCCTGTGCATCCACAATAATAAAATAGATGCTCTCCTATGCAGTTCTTTATATCTCAGTTCTCTTTTTCAAATTGGTGAATTCTATTGGCAAAAGATTACACTGAATACAATGAGAGTGGTTTTCTTCACAACTGGTCAGAATATGTAAATATGTCTCCCGTGTAAAAAGTAAAAGTAACTAAAATAGATCTTGGGCTTGTTTTGTTCTTTAAGCACACCAAGAACCTAAACTTAAAGTGTAGTGTCATTAAATGTACAAAGCTTATTTGCAGCTACATTGTTCTGTATTCTGAAGTCAATTGACTGTGCTTATGTTGCCGTGGATATTAAAATAATATTCTTTTAAAAGTGAACATGCACGGTGTAGTGGAGATTGGCCATAGAGTAGAAATTAAGCTGTTGACAGCCTTGCAACTTTTCAGCTGTGTATTGTAAGTTCAAAATAACATGTAAGAAACTTTTTAAATTGATGGGGTTTATAACAATAAATTGTTTTATACTAGGCATCTAATCAAATAGCTGTTCTACAGTTTACTTCTCCCTATAGCAGTGAAAGGGGGATTATAAATGGACATGTTGCTTTGCTAAATGCAAATCAAAATCTTTGGAAAGTTGGACATTATTTGAGGGTAAAAAGAGAGACAAAACCTCAATAGTCAGTAGTATTTCAATTTCAACTAAAACGTAAATGTTAACATTAAATGTATTTTTCTTTTCCCCCTCAGGAGTATATTTTAAGACAAGTTGCATCAATGTATCTCAAGCTTGGATGGCCAACGAATAATTTAAACAAATCGCTTGTTCAAGCATCATACCAACATGAGTACTGTTATATTTCTTTTTTTATTGTTTGTTTGCGGGATATAGTTGTAATAATGCACTCTCCTACAGTTTGGTGTCATACTTTCCTAGTTCTGCCGTCCTTCTGTTTTTCCTTTCTGGGTTAAAGGGAGAGCAGCAAGATGCAGTGAGATGAATTCCTCTTCCCTGAGTTTGGAGAACATGATTTCCTAAGCCTTAATTTAATATTTGACTGCACTGCATTGTTAAGAACTTGGACTCATGTGACCACAGAGGTCAGGAAGAGTGCATAAGTGTAAAAGGGGGCTGGTTTTGGCCCATGACCTTTCTTTAGTTGTTGCAGCAGTTGTAGGCGTTAAATTGACACGGGGATTTGAATAGCTGGATTATCTTCGATATGTTGCCCAGCTATCAGTTGCTGCCTCTGTTATAAGAAATAGCTTTTTGTAAACATTCAAACACATTCACTAATGCAGCCTTATTGCTTTCTTTAATTTGGACAGAGAGTTGCGTCGGGAAGTCATCATGTTGGCCTGCAGCTTCGGTAACAAACACTGTCACCAGCAGGCTGCGACGTTGATCTCAGACTGGATTTCTAGCAATAGGAACCGGTAAGTGGAACTGAAATGTATACTTCCCATTTCTCCCACTCAGAGGCAATGCAGCTGGCATGCTTTTCTGCTCCTGCCCGTCCCCATCCACCGTGCCTCGTTCTGCAGAGTGGTATGGGAGGAAGCAGAGGTCGCTGGCTGTTATTTAAAAATGTCTCTGAGGCTTCAGAATGAATTATTTGACTTTGCACTTATGAGTGGGTGGAGGGGACACCCATGTAGCCTCTGCCCACTCCTGATAAATTGCTGTCGGGTAATTATATGCTAGAAGGCGAGAAGATGGGTTTTAAGGAGGGGTTTAAAGGAAGAAAGATGAGTGAACACCGCATTGGCAGACAAACACGGAGCCTGTGTCGGGGCAAGAGAGCAGAAGGTGCTAAGTGATTAAAGAAGTGAGAGAGGTTAGAGGCAGAAGGACTGAGAAGTAAAAAAGGAGACAAAACAACGTACTTGAGGGAAATGTTATGAAGTACTTAAGGGTGAAGACTTGGAAATTAATGTGATGCAGGAATACATGGAAAAGCTCACGTAAGGTCTCACAGAGGGGATAATATGATAGCTGATGTGTTGAGCGTTAGCAGCACTGTAGTGGTTTGACAGCAAATATGTAAGTTAGGCTGTCCAGACTAGGTTTATTCAGCTGAGGCAAGGGAACATGGGCCGTGGATGGTGTATGAAGTTTATCTTTTAAAGGCCAGCATCTAAGAAGTGTTAAATTACTGAAACTAATTTAAGTATGTAGTGATCTATGGACAAAGAGATAAGTACAGACTATAGGTTAAGACCATGACTTCTTGAGAAAGAATGATGGATTTTCTGATTATGTGGCATGTGGGTGTAGAAGTAATTGCATAAGTACATCACATGATATTTTGGTTTAAAGGAAAATATTTTACTTTCAAGTAACAAATTAGAAGAGAAGTCTTTTTTAGCCCCAATCTTGTATTAGCTCTGCAAAAGGATCAGATCTCTATAGACATATAGGCATGTAGGATTTTTCAAGACACCGTGGGCCAATCAGGTGTTTGTTTGCAATTCAAATATGTCTGTCTGTCTGTCTGTCTTTGTAATCTTTGAAAGCCCTCTACAGGCATACCTATTTACATAAGTACCTGAGTGTCTTTTAAAACCAGCCATGAACTGAGCATGAATGGAAATTGCATTCCTGTATGAATTTGAGACTTCGGAAAAAAAATTATCTTGAAACTATGACTATGTACCTTTAAATAAGGTGTGTGTGAGAGGGAGGGTTTTCTTGTGTAAGATGATACCAGATATATTTACTATGAAATATATACCCCAGGGTTTTATATTAATTCTTATCATCAGCAGCAACAATCAGTATGAAACTATTCAAAAAGGAGATTAAAGAGAAAGAATCAATGGAAACAATCTGCAAAACTAATTTACTTAGATATTCATTTGCAAAATTAGTTAATCAAACCTAGCACCATCTATTAGCATGCACAGCAGTAGATTATTCGGTGTTAAAAAGCTGTCACCCTGCAAAGCTTTCTCCTACCCTGTGTCTTCATCCTTTCCAACAGGATTGAAGAAGGAAGCATCAGGGGGAAAAAAAAAAAAAAGCTTATTGCTTTACTAACAATAGCACAAGAGGAAAGGAATAAATTTAAGGAGTCATCTGAAGATTCATCTTAGCCTTTCTATGGGGCCATTCTTGGGAGCACAAGACTGTGGTTGCCAGCATATGACAAGTATTATGATAAAAGCATCACAGCAGGGCAGAGGAAGAGAATAGCTACTAAGTTAAAGCAGTGCATTTCTCCAAAGGAAATGCACAGTTTTGAAAAACAGCTGCAACAAATAATGTAATTATAGAATACGGATTGACAGTCAGGTGATCCATAGGGGTACAACTTGCAAAGAAGACAGAGATGTGTTTTTATTTATTTGTTAAGATCACAGGATTTGTTCGATTCCTGCCCCCCGCTCCCCGAATTTACCAGTTGCTATTCACAGAGCAGTCTCACATACTGAATGTAACTAACATAGGAGCAGACTCATTTCCTATCTACTTATATTGAAACGACATTGCAAAGGCTACTTGTACTAGCAGCTTGGTAGACGTAAGATCAGCTTTTGTATCACAGTAACAACATTTGTAGGGCTCTGTCAGTGCTCTCTTAGGAATGTTTAGATCCCTGCGGCATCAGAGGTACCCCGTATCATCTTTGCTCAGTTTAAACCAACTCGGACTGAAATCTGAAAATAAAGCAGGGGCTGTTTTCCCTGCTTTTCCACCAAGAAAATGATGATGATTCTACAATCAGAATGTAATTAACATGGTGTTTGAGTTATGCTTCTGCCTCTCTGAGCACTTCAGAGACAATAGCTCGCTCAAGTGCAAAGGGCAAGCGCGTAAGTACAAGATGCATGCAGAGAGCACATCCACCAGGTGCCATTTTGTATTCTTTCTCATCAGTTAAGTGTTTTGCTCAGTTTGATGCCCTTAACAGCTGTTTGTGAATTTGCTGCAAACAGCCACCTCAGAATCTGTAGGAATCCCTCAGAGCTTGTTTCCTCACCAAGAAAGGAAAACTCATGCTGCTCATCTTTCTCCAGTCTTCTCTGGCAACTCCTGGTGAGGAAAGCTGGTGACAGGTACAGAAACTGTGTATCCTTGCCTGTTACACTCCTTATCAGCAATGAGTAAAGTTTTGTCTGCTGAAGACTACAGTTTTCTAGCACGTGTACTCATCTACAAGAACCTAAAAGTTCTTGTAGATGCCCTTCCCTCTTCTGAAACAGAACAAAGACATTGACCGATGCGTTGCAGAAAGCCTGGTCTTGGTGGGTTTGCATAGCCAGAGCACAAAGATAGGGTTCCAGAGAGCTCAGAGATATTTTTATATGCAAGTATAATTTGAGTTTGATTATGACAGTAACAATAAGGCTAATTTGCAACCTTTCCACCCATCCTTTCCCAAAAACCTTACTCTGGTAGACAAGATGTTTCATACAATGAGCTAATTCACAAGCAGCACTTGTTGGGACGAACACAAATTCTTCAAAGCAGTAGGACCCAAAATGAGACTGTGGAATTAGGCTTGTGTCTCAAGATTCTAATCAATACAAAATTAGGGTAGTATTAAATTAATAAGTGGTATTAAATACCATATAAATGCACAGGCAGTAAATGATACAAAGGAAGTTTTTGATTCCCTGGCAGTTACTGCAGTTAAAGTTCAAATAAGCATAACAGAGAATGTGCAATTGATTATACTGTAGAAATGCTAAAATTCATAACGTTTTAGCTGTGGTTTTAATCTACAGCTTTTTAGAAGTTCTTTTGAAATGTTTTTTCTGTTTTACTTGTAGCATTTAATGATGGATAAAGTGTTGGGTAATAAACAAATACAGTAACATCTAACTCTGTTTTACCAGCACATGCCTACAGTTGCTGTGATTTTTAGTAATTATATTTAGTCTGGTACGTCCAGAAATTAATTACCATCTAGTCTTCACTGTAGGGGATTAAAATAATCATAATAATCAGTTACTGCTTGTACTTTGTAATTACATGTTCTTTACTGTGCAAATAATTTGCCACTGTTCACCAAGTAAAATAACGGTCATTCATAGCACAAAGCCAGAGGTCCTCTTTGTGTTTCCAGCACCATGTGAAAAAAGCCATTAGATTTCCAACTGTAGCACTGCAGATTTTCTTACGGAATTAGTAAAAAAAAAAACAACCCATACATGTGAGCTGCAACATTAGCTTCCATGTATGAAAGTGGAAGTCAGCTGAGAGGCTTGAAGGCTTGAATTTCTAAAGTGACTTAGGTGTGGCAGTGCTTCTTTTTTAGATGCCTGGCTCACAGGGCAGAATCAGACGCTTGGAGTTATGTTTCCTACAAGGGGATTTGGGAACCTCTAAATGGAGCTGGTGGCAGCCACTGTGCTGAGTGAAGAGCCTCTTAACATGAGACTGCGAAGAGAGAGTGGGCCCTCTGAGGGTCCAGCACTGCAGGTAGAAAGATACCTATATCAAACGAATATGTAAATGGCAATCATAGAGTTAGGGCTCCTTGCAAAAGATGCCTTTCGAAAACGTCGCTAAAGCAGGAGAAGGTCTGCTCCTTTTCTTTTCAAACACAGTTGGCAGAGAAGCTGCTCCTCAACCCCCTTTTAAACAGGGGGGCTGAGATTGCGGCAGAGCTTCGGTTGAGTACCTCAGCCCTACCTCTGCCACGTGCAGACCACCACCCTCATCTCCTATCCGTGAGGTGTTTGGGGCAGTATTAAGACACTTTAAGCAAGACACTCCTCCTCTAGTTGACGCTCAGCCACTGGGATTTACTTTGTTAGCAAGAGAAATAACACAGCTCTCCAGCCTAAAGATGAGAGCGTTCATCTGAGGGAGCGAGGCTTGAGTACCTGAAGTACCAGGAGTACTTGGTATGCAAAGGGCTTCAGGTGGTATTGCTCACTACCACTTTTGCATCATTTTTGTGATGCTAAAACAAGGAACAGAACTCTAAAAAAGAAGTTGGCTCTACAAGGAGCAAACCAAACACGTAACATTACATGTAGAAGAGGGAATAAGGAGACATCTGGTTTTCCTGGTCTAGGAATTGATATTATATTTTAATTCTTGCAATTGTTACAAAAGAAGTGGTTATTTCTTTCCGCTGAAAATCTGAGATGAGACTTCAAGGTATGTCTTACAGTCTTTTCAATCAATAAATTTGAGTAATTTTGCTCTTTTTAAATGGCTGATGGCTCCAGCACATTTTCCTTGAATGTCTGTATTGACTTCTGACTTGATAGTTGATATGAAGGCAAACATTTTCACTCTGTTAAGTTGGGATATATGCTACTCCTATATTGGAGCAATGGAAACCCTTGAAACTTCCGTGTTTATGTTCAGAAGAACACAAACCTAGTAGAAAACGTATAAGCACATTGAAATTTCCCTCGTAGTTTGAGAATGTAAGGTTAGTGGGATTCAGTCAACAGCAGAATGCTGTACAAGAATG